AAGAAAAAATAAATAAAAGTTTAAAAAAAGGAATACTTTAATGATGGGTGGAATTATTTTGACTTTCCTCTAATTATTGCATATGCAGTATATTGCATTTTAGACTTTACTAGTGAAAATCAAGAATACCTCATCTTTATCAAAATTCTAGTAATAGTATTGTCATTTATGAAGCTTTTCTTTTTTTTGAGGATTTATGAAGGCTTCAGTTTCTTGGTTTAAATGCTGGCTAGTGTATTTAAAGACCTCAAATACTTCTTGATATTCTTTATCATTTTCATTATTCAGTTTGGGATAATTTTCTTAGTCCTTTTTAAGGCTTAGGATATTGATGAATACAATGGCATGAACAAATTGGCTTATTTTCTAATGGCCTTTAGAATTTCATCTGGTGATTTCCAACTTGATGATTTCCATAGTTAAGAAAATGGTTTAGTGATACTTACATGGCTGATCTGGTTAATTGCAGTCATGACTTTATATATCGTTTTCATGAACTTCATTATTGCTGTTATTTCTGAATCCTATGAAAGAGTGATGCAGAAATTAGTTGCAGAATCCTATAGAGTCAAAGCTAACATGATTGTCGAAAGGGAACGATTTTTCACAAAAGATGATTTGGAAAACACAAAATATTTCCCAAGTTATATTGTTGTTCGAAGACCATTAAATGCAGTGATTAAGGAAGATGGGGAGTGGCAAGGATTTATTAAAGACCTGAAGTACACAATAAGAACAACAGCGGTAAAATCAAAGGCAGATATTATTCAAAATTCTCACTTGATTAATCGGGAACTGGATGAAAAAATGAATAGATTGAACTAGGAAAATAGCAAGAAATTAGATGATCAAATAAAAGGATTTGAAACTAAATTTGTTGGACTTGATACTAAAGTTGATGGTCTTGATACTAAAGTTGTTGGACTTGATACTAAAGTTGATGGACTTAATACTAATGTTCTTAAAATTCAAGATGATATGGAATTCTTAAAGACCTCCTTAACCTAATTCATTCAAAATTACAAATCAGTAACCAAGAACTTAATTTTGAAACAATAAAGAATTTCATACTCATAGTTTTCAATATTTACTTATGTAAATTGATTGCATTTAAAATTTGAGAAACTTAAATTTATTTCTTAAATCTTTATTATATTAGATTGTAAAATAACGGGGTTTTGGGGTTTTGGGG